GATCATGAGCAAGAAAATTTGGAGGAAATTGAAAAATGTGTACCTTTCCATTTCAACATTAGTGATCTGGGAAATTGATCAAAGCTTGATAGACTTCTTAGGGAAAAGAGGTCCCCCTAGGGAGGACGGTTTTACTTTTCCAAAAGATTCAAAAAATAGACATTTCTTGTCCACATATTCTATTTGGCATTTAGCAAGTGGTGAGAAGAGTGATAAAAAAATGGTTGGTCTACTCAATTTCAATGGATAATTTATTTTGCTTTTGTTTTAAGTTGTTTAAGCAAGAAGGAAACAGTATTCTTAGCTAATGAACGAATCAATTACTGGCAAAATCTTAGATTTAGGCTTAAAAGTCATGAAACTAGTAATGGACACATGCATAACATGAGAAGATGGATTGAATTAGAAAGGAGATTACAACAGAATTTAACAATTGATAAAGCCGTGCAAGATCTAATCAACAAAGATAGAGAACATTGGAGAGAAGTTTTTGTGAGGAAAGTTTCTATTGTTAGCTTTCCATGTAAGAATAATTTGGCATTTTGGGGGACTAATGAGAAAATTTATGAAAAAGATAATGGGAGTTTTTCATGTCTAATTGAAATGATTGCAGAATTCGATCTATTTTTGAGGAAACACATCCGTCGTATTCAAGAAAAAGAAATTCATCATAATTACCTTAGTGACAAAATTCAAAATATGAAAGTTTTTGTTTGATTTAAAAAAATTGCAGAATACAAATGATAGTTGTTTGAAATGTTGGTGTGATAAGCTCGAAGAATTTTTGAAACATGACATTGATTCTGACATTGATGGATCGGAGTTATTTTCTGAGCTACAAATTGTGAGAAATAGTTTGCCAAAAGAGACTAAAAAAGGCGATTAAATTGTTGGACTTAGGGATGGCAATTGGGCTCATCGGCTCAGGCTGCTCGTAGCTTAGCTTTGAAAAAGCTCGAGTCCGCTCAGCTTGAGGCTCGTGAGAACCGAGTCGAAGTTCGGACCAAGCCCCATTTTGGGGTGCCCGGTAAAGCCCGAGTCGGCCCGTGTGGCTCGCTTGCTCGGGCTCACGAGCCTATATTTAAAAAAAATACAAAAAATAAAAAAAAATAAAAAATAAATTACAAGGCAGCACGCTGCTGCCTTAATTGTGTTAACCAAAAAAAAAAAAATCAGTCAATTAAGGCAGCGAGGCTGCCAAAAAAAATAATCCAAAACCAAACAAAACATGAGCCGAGAGCTCGGATTGAGCCTAATTATTTTTGCCGAGCTTTTGCTTAGCCCCACTCGGGCCCCAAAAAAAAAGCTCGAACATTTTATCCGAACCGAGCTTGAGCCTAAAATTTCGGCTCGTTGACATCCCTAGTTGGACTACATGGAAATGATGGACTATTTTCCAAATGTATGAATTGCTTATAGAATATTATTGATTATACCAGTTACGGTTTTATCTGTCAAGAGAAGCTTCTCAAAGTTGAAATTGATAAAATCCTATTTTTGATCACCAATGTCCCAAGAAAGATTGAATGTGGTCATGGTATCTATTGAAAAAGAAATTCTAAAATAGATTGCTTGTAATAGTCTAATTGTTGACTCTCTATCAAAAAAGTCTAGAAGAGTAAATTTAATTTAGACATTCAAAGGTTTTAAATTACTGTTTTTGTAATTTCAAGGGGCCCCATACTTGGAATTGGTATAAAACCTCCAAAATATCAGGGCCGGCCTGAAATGAAACTTGAGTCTTTATGATTCTTTGTGAGAGTAGTGTTTGGTTTCAGGTTTGATGCATTATGGTCTATAGAAGTAGTGTTGATTTAGCCATTTAGGGTTTGAGTTGAGGTTTCTGTTTTGTATAGAGGGATGCAATGTTCTGAACCCTAGATCATTGATATTTAAGATGCCTTTGGTTGTGTCTTAAGTTGTAATATTTGATATAAACATTTTGTACGAGTTTATTCAATTTTATTCTAATAGTTCGAATAACCAGCAATATAACATTGTGGTTTTGTGCAGAGTGGAGCGTAGTCCTCCTCTATTGAGGGTGACGTACCTTCCATTCTCTTTCAATCCATAAAATTTGAAGACTTTCCGACCAACCTTCGTTTTGGTCTTTCTGTACGAGAATTTCCCAATCAACCAGCATGGCATTGGTTTCGACAAAATATTCACATCCTTAGGTGTAACATCTATACAAAATCGATTTCATTCACAAACCTAATTGTTGCAGAAGCTCTCTTGAAAGATCTTCAAATCGGTGATTTTCGGACTTAGTCCAACGCATCTTTCTCAATCAACAACCAATCCAATCAACTCCAAACCACAACCAATTGATTCAACTTGGTTGCTATTCAATCTTACCCATGTAGGACAAGAAATGATGATGATTTGTGGCCACAAAGGCTAGAAAAAGACACTACAAAGGTATACTATGAAGGAACCACAAATTGCACACGTTATACAAGCGTTCTGGACACTTCTAGAGACCTTTTTTATCACACAAAGGGGGTAGCCTGGATTCTTTTTTTCTTCTCTCAAAATCACACAATACATCATAAGAAAGTGGCTAGGGTTATAGTAATTTATATACACTCTAGGGTTAGGCTTTAAGTTGGACCATTAAAGGGATAAACGGGCCAAGATTCAAGCCATCCATAACGGAATACAATTGGGCCGGGTGTTGCTCATGGACCTGGTTGTTGAACTTATTTCATTCATCGGCCTATGCCTATGAAATAATATTAACCTACGTTAATATCATAACCCGGGATTTATTGGGTATCAAAAATCCAACAAATTTCCATTGTAATGCCCAGTAAATCTGCAAGCAATTAAAACACAAAGTTAGCACTTGCATAATCAAGGTAACCAATAAAATTGGATCACAGACCTTACCTCGTGCTTCCAACTTGAAACACATACCATATCTGCTCCATGTATTCACTGGGGCTAAGGTCAAAAGCACCCAAGTAGAAGCAAATATTTAACATTAAACAACCAAGAGCAAATAGACGTGCGATGACGATATACTATAGGATAACACACATAGATCTTTTCATAAAAATGTTCACAGAGAACCATAGATTAACACCAAGTCAATCAAACGATGGTCAACCACATATGCAACACATGCATAAATGACCCTAAGAAAAGATCTCACTACACTTATCCTATCCCATTCCATATTGCTTACGCCTCGAGAACACATATCTCCTCTCATCGCCCACCAAGCTCACTAGACAGATCACTCAACTCATGTTTAACTGGCAAGTTACAATAGATCCTAAGTCCAATCCATGGGATAATTCTCTATCTCCACATCACTTCTCCCAACCTACGTTGATAATAGGTCTCCAGCTCACAGAAGTGATAAAAGTGCCTCTCTCACACTTCACCTGATCAGGGTCTCTTTCCAGATAAAAGATTCTAGACATTTGATCACATCTCCACTCGTGATCCAAATGTCACACTCCACATCTCCGGTACAAACCACCATGTACCCCTAGGCATCTATACTCCACCTTACCAAAAGACATCCAACTCACTGCTAATGCATCACAAACTCACTGCGGCAAAACAACACCTTTCGGTGACCACAAATGTTACTCCAATCACCAAAGCTCCAAAAATCCATAAAGAAAACAGCGAAGGTGGCACTCACAAAGAAAAATCGAAGAAAGAGTCGGTTACTTCACAACATTCACAAAGAAGGATCACAAAGAGGAAGAATATAACCCGAACATGACTGCCTCACATAATCTCACAAACCACACAGGCTCGCAAAGATAAAGGAGAGAAACGACTGCCCAACTTTCTTCTCACTACCACACTCTCACACCACTCACAGAGGAAATAGAGTACGCCACAAAACATAACCCACTATGCATGTAAACATATTACACAAAGTAATAAGTCACTCTAATTCATGCAATTACACACATCAAACATATTGAAACTGTAACATCAATATTACAACATAATTAAGTGACCACATACATGCAGAAAGGATTACACACAAATACAATGCAGTAACCAAGTTTATTCTCTCAATAAATATCACTAGGATCACTACTCGACCCTAAAGTTACATTCGTCTCGTCTCTATTCTTATCTTTTCTTTTATTATCATTCTAGGACAATCTTTTTCAACTATGCCCAAATTTTACCACAATTAAAACATATTTTATTTTTCGCACTCGCCTTAGACCTATACATGCCAACAATACCAAATAATGACCACAAGCAAAGTATTGACATATAATTCACGCAAAATAGTAAGTAAACTTTCCTAAGGTCACATGCAATTTTATCGGTGTAGAAAAAATTGGTGACAAATTCACATAGAATTTAGATAGTTAATTAACATATAATTTCTAGGTCTAGTAACAAACAATGGTTACTCCTTCACGGTAACCCTAAACCTAACGTCATCCTACATGATGACTTCTAATGCGAAAAATAAATAATTCCCATAATAATATTTTAATTGTAATAATAAAAGGCAAAGAATACGATACCGAGCGGACCACCTCTGAAGGTCCGTAAATATCGAGAGACGCGAATTCACCACTTCAGGATTATGACTATTCATCCTAAAGTCTCTGAAAACTGCAGCAACTAAAAAATCACGATTGAGTCCTGAATGCTCGAAGAACAATGCTGTCTAGATTCTACTGCGTACCTTGAAACAGAAAACTTTCAATACAAAAAATGTTAGAAATAATATGAGGAACAAACTGTCTGAAGGGACCTCCTTGAAATTCCCGCTCATGTGTGTCTCTTCCTTTCTGCGCGTGGGCCACACGCGCTGCCACACGCGCAGGATTTGACCGTCACGCGCCTTCCTGCAGGGTGCGCCTCCTCTTGCACGTCATGCCAGTGGTCTCCGTTTCCCCAACCTCCTTTTGGATTGATCAGAAAATGCAAAAAACGGAGACTGATTTTGACAGTTTTTGGACAGCTTCTTCGATCTGATTTCTGCTACGATTTCTGGACGTTTTTGGTATGTTTCAAGAGCCAAAACCACCACCTTGAAGCTCTGATACCAATTTTTGCGGAAGCTCTCTTGAAAAATCTTCAAATCGGTGATTTTCGGGCACAGTTCAACACACCTTTCTCAAACAACAACCAGTCCAATCGACTCCAAATCCAACCAATTGATTCACCTTAGTTGTTATTCAATCTTACCCACGTAGGACAAGAAAAGATGATGATTTGTGGCCACAAAGACTAAGAGAAGACACCACAAAAGTATACTATGAAGGAACCACCAATTGTAGACGTTATACAAGCGTTCTGGATACTTCTAGAGACCTTTTTTCTCATACAAAGGGGGTAGCTGGGATTCTCTTTTTCTTCTCTCAAAATCACACAATACATCATAAGAAAGTGGTTAGGGTTATAGCCATATATAGACTCTAGGGTTAGGCTTTAAGTTGGACCATTAATGGGGTAAACGGGCCAAGATTCAAGTCATTCATAAGGGAATACAATTGGGCCGAGTGTAGCTCATAGATTTGGTTGTTGGACTTATTTCATTCATCGGCCTATGCCTATGAAATAATATTAGCCCATGTTAACATCATAACTCAAGATTTATTGGGTATAAAAAATCCAACACTAATGAAATTACTCAAGTCAAAAATATGTAAAATAATTAACAAACCCATCTTTTGTGAGAAAAATCGATCAAAAGTGTCGACTCATGAAACATGCTCTTAATTCTGATGTAATAAATAAAACAACATAAAACCTTAGTACTGGTAATAAGAGATATATTAAAATAGGTTACACAAAATATCAAATGGAAGCATGGTACTAGATTACACAAACCTGAACTATTATTGGATCAAACTTGGTCCATTCCTAGATCTTCTTTTCTCCTTTATTGTAGGATGACCAAGTTTGCTCCATCAATGAACAGTAGGGTTCTCTTTGATCTTGGAATTTTGCCACTTTGCCAGAAGTAATTTAATAGATGCAAAGACATAATCCGAGGTGGCAGCAGATAATTTGATGAAAAACTGACTGTGTTTAAAACAGTCCAATGATGGAATATGACGTGGCATTATTTCAATATTATATCAAGGCATCTGGTAAGCATGATTCTTTATCTTGCCCTAAATGCAGTCAAAAGTTGTAAATATATGGGGCTGTTATTCAAACAGTAGCTAGGTGGATCAGTTGAAGTGAGGCTGTGGCCAAACAGCTCCGCCAACACCGTCAGTTATATACGATAAGGATGACAAGGGCACCAAACACAGCCCTCGACTTCTAAGATCTCGCTTTGGTTCTTCGTTCTCGTCATCAGTGGAAACCTGATATATATATTAGGAGAGGGATATATTAATGACATAAAATCATTTTAAAACATAAAAATAGACTAACATCTTATCTAATGTTGTGCAGTATTGCGGACATGCCATGAGTGGACTATAACTTGGATTGAATCACAACGTAAGATTTGACTTTTAATGAAGACTTAATACTATCATTAACGAATTTTAGGATAAATCTCACATGTACATGCTCCATTTGCAGTACATCAAATTGAAGCATATTTCATATTGCTAATTTTTTTGACATTATGAAAAATATGAGAGTACAAGCATGTGTGGAGTGTTTATAAATGATTTAAAACATATATAGAGAGAATTGAGTAGTTGTTAAGTGGATAATACTCGTGAATCTTACAAAATATGTGGATAAAAAGTGATTTAACCGATTATAAATAATTTATAAAAATTAGCCAAATAAGGGATAATAATATGCCACGAGAACATGTACCTTCGGTTACATCCCATAGAATTGGAATGATATAGAGAAGATATGCCAAGATCAAATGATGTACATTTTTACTATGTACCAGGTTCAAACAAAGGATCCCATATTCTCATTAATTTTAAGGTGAGAAATAACAATTTTATCAAGTTTTTTACTCTCTCTAATTGCATGGATCAAGAATGTATAATATATCATACTCAATTAAAAAAGTGTTGCTAAATTTGTACCATGTGTTTTATTTTGCATACATACAGAGACAAATATCTCTGTGTGATGATAGGTTGAACTCAAACAAAACGAAGGTCTATGAATAAATTTCAAGAGATCAACTGCATTTAATTCATATATACTGTCGCTGGTTTTTGAGAAAGATTTGTTCACTTCATTTCTTACCCCTTTTGTTGCTCTGCTGGTCTTATTCCTTGATGACTTCATGTATGGGACACTTAGAGTCTGCATTAAACAAGTCCAAATATTAGCAAAGTAAAAAACCATCCTTTTTAAGGAAAATAAAATTACAGAAGACAATGTAAATTTACGACAAAATTTAAGTAAAATTGCAAATTGTCAATTGTGGAAATATAGCAAAGCATTTGTTTTACCAAAAGTTCAGAATTCAGTTTATGGAAATTTGGTCAAGTTTTATGATCTTAGGTTGGTACAATTTTTTCCTTCAAGGCCTAAATGGTGAATAAAAAACCTACTAACGTTAATTCCTAAAAGTTGTTACTTTTTTTGTAATATAAAGGTCAAAGCATGCAATTAAGCTAATTTTTTAGATAAGCCCCACAAATAAATCAATTCTTAATTAGTTGCAATCCACTACAAAGTCTACACTAAGTACAATGCTTAATGGAATTGAGTTTTCAACTACTTTAGTAAAATACACCCTAAAGTGTAAATAAAGTTTCCGATTTTTCTTAAGGAATATAAAAATTAAGAAAACTTTTGGCTAGTTTCAAAATGTTTTGCAGACTTTCGGAAACACTAATCCTAGAACTTCAGAGGTTTACATGCGATCTTAGTCTACCAAAGATAGTAAAACTTCATTTATTTATATTTTATCTTCCATAATCATAACCTAATCTTCTTTGTTTATATCTTTTTCACATAAGCAACTTAATTAAGGAGATTTATATCAGTATAGATATAGATATAGGTTATGGACGAATAAGACAAAAACATGAGTTTAATAGAACAAAATCCAAGAAGAATGTCTTACCTCGACTTGGTTTTGAAGGAATTTGATATAACCAGTGGCCTCCATAAGTACGGATGCTGTGTCTGTCTGTAATATTGTCCACCCGCATGCAACATTAATTTATGCAATATAAGTAATTAATTATTTTACCAAATCTTAACTGTAACAGTAATGTCCTAAGCATGTAGATTATTCTGCTCATTTTTCAGTAAAAATTAACTGTACACCAGACATTATGGTTTTCAGATTCTGTGACTGGGGAACATGCACACTAGAGTCTCACTATTCATATGCCATATGTAGAACATGTTTGCTTGGTTTAGAAGTTACTTTTTTTGGAAAATAAGTTAAGTTCGTTTGGCGAATTTATAAATACTTTATAAAAGAAATAATAGTGGATTCCATGAATGTGGAAATGATAATGAGTAATGATTAAGAATTTGTGCTTGAATTAATAAATCATTCCAAATTTGTATCCAAACATAAGGTTAAGAATTACTTTCTGAAAAAGCATATTTTGTAAACATAAAAAGTAACTTAGGTAAAAGTTTTGCCTACTTTAAGAACAACAAACATGCACGCCCATAGAGCATAGATATGAGTAACTATTCAAGTGATTTTATTAAGTTAATGTAGAGTTGAATTACACGTTTCAGAATTTAAGTTTTTAAAAAGGAGAATAATTTATAATATGTACCAAAGGTGGAGATTGGGTTTATTTTTCCATCATATGTTTGATGTTTAATTAAAGTGAGCTCTTTATCTTAGATCACTTCATTTTCTATTCGATTTCTAATTACATTTGTTTTATCCCTTTGATCCTCCTTTCATTTTTTTAAATGAAGAATTTGTTTAGTATTAAGAAGCAATTTGACTTCGTGGGCTAAGGAAAAGGAAAATTTTCAATAACAAGGGCTATAGGAGAGAAAAAACTCGTTTGATTGCTAAGTTCGTGTATTATAATTATTAATATTAACCTTTTCATATTCAACTTAGACAATATGGTGAATCGACATTTCCATTTGAATTCCATTTGAAAATATAATCGAGGATGTTTATATTTGTCAAGACATGAACATATGACGGCGTAAGCCTACATAAAATTTCTTGAATTGGAAAATAAATCTTAGGCTAAATTGAGGTTAAAAACAAGATTCAGGTAGGATTTATCAATTATGATGTATAAAAATATTCTGATTTGAAAAAACAAAATTACCTTGCCAAAAGGTGCTACTAACTGCTGAAGAGCAGCAATTCTATCTCCCAATTTCTCTTTTCTAACCTGATAAATTCAGTTCAAGAAAGTCTTAAAAATGATAAAACTGAGCTTAATTATTATAGACAGATAATTAATTATATTTAAATGAATTCTAATTAATTTGTTATTCGTTAGCTGTACCTTAAAGAATAATGCTACATAGAATCACTGTGCTGCAATAAACACAGTCTAATTGCAAAACACCATTAGTTTATAAACGATTAGTTGTACCTTAAGTGGTGGGCAAGAAGTGCGTGGTTCTATACGTGATTTTTTTGGTGCCTTTGGCTCCAATATACTGTTGCTTCGTTTTGCTTCTGCAACTCCATTGCTTAATGGTGATATCTTTAAAATCCAGAGAAAGTAAAATTTATCAGAACAATAATGGCTATCTTGTCAAAATCCTTTTTTTAAAAATAAATAAATAAATAAATAAATAAAAAGACTCAACTTTTCTGAAAATAAAATGTGTATAATTATATAAAGGTGTATACAAATGCATAAAGCTGAAGTAGCCTTTAAATGGAGAAAAAGGAAGGCTTTCCTTTTGGTATAACAATCTATTTGAATGGAGAAAAAGAAAAGCAAAGAGGCTTTTTTTTCTTTTCTCAAATAAAAATAGGAAAAAATATATATATCAGAAGAAAAACACTTTCTGTGGCTGTGCTTTTATCCCAGGTACTGTTTTAGATATTTCTGACGCAGTTTCATCCCACATGTATAAGATCTTCACCTCACTAGGAAGTATTTATAATTGGGATAGAAATCTATAAGGAATAATAAGATCAATGGAGAAAAAGGAGGAAAGTGAAAGAAAATAAAGGAAAATGCAAACCTTATTAGGGCAATTCATTGACATTTGGCTTGATTGCTGCATATAATCAAGGCCATAACAAAGACCTTCTTTGTAATGGCCTAATTCATTCTGCGAATTTGGGCTCATAAAATTTCCATGAAATTTTGAAGCCGTAAGGTGATCTAGTGCCTGCAAGTTCATGTCCATGTTGCCTGAATTTTCTAATTGCGCCGACTGCAGATTGAAATTGGAAACATTTATGCTTGGAAATATCTGACTGGAACCCCTTCCACTCTGTGTTGATCCATTAATTCCTGTGCTTAAAGAGTTGGAGTAAAAATTTTGTGGAGAAATATTCTGCCCATTTCCAAGATTTCCGGAAGAAAGTGTTCTAAGAAGAAGCTTTGCGCTGAGATCGTTAAATGGAAAATCTCTCAGCTCATTATTCTTGCTGTAGCTTGAGGGATTTACGCGAAAATCTTCAATACTTGATGATTGCCTGTTTAAGATCTCTGTGAATTTAGGGTTAAAATTATCTGGAAATTCTTCCTTAATTCTTCCAGATTGTAAATTTCCTGTAGGATTAGCCCAATGAAATAATTCCATTTCTGGAGTCATGGAAATATTCCAGGAAGAGAGTGGATTCTGGTTTTGCTGCGCTTGCCTCGGATTTATAATGCCTTCAATAGGATATGAATTGAAGCAATCTGAGTTTCTGCAAAAATTAGTTATGGTAATCACTTGTATTTCAAGCCGAAACAATCCAATCTAAAACTTTGAATATTGCACGTTAGGCGAGTAGATTAACGTTACTAAGCTATAGTACAAAACAAAAATTAGCATGCAAGTAGATTAACAATGCTAAGTAATATTACAAAAGAAAAATTAGTAGATATTTTGTTCATTCTACTATTGGTGTACTATTTTATATCATACATGCACTAAAATTTCAAACGAACCACCGGAACTCGAAATTTTCAAACAATAAGCTGCAAGAATATTTTGTGCTTGATGTGCAATCAAATCACACGAGAATATAAGCAAAGCAAGGAGAAGATACAAGTACTAAACAATAATAATACTAAACCACAATGATTCTGCAGCAAGTATTGCTAACCAAGAATCATTATAGAAGATTTACTTGTTTATCTAAAAAGCCCAGATGAGGATTTTTTTGGTTAAAGTTCCTAGTTTAGAGAGAGAGAGACTTACAAAATGGTGTTAGGGGTCCAAGAATGAGTGCTTGCAACTCCATAGCAAGAAGTAGCTAAAGAAGAAGACCCAACAACTTGATGATGATCTTGAGGATGATGTTTTTTTAGTCTATGAATATTTGCAGAATCCATTATAATGCAATAATTTTTTTAACACACTTGAAAATCCCAAGACTAACAATTAAAAACCAAACCTAATCTCTCTCTATCTTTCCCCTCTCTCTCTCTCTAGGAAATAGTATTTCAGGTGACAGCCATAAAATACACAATTCTCCTATGCTTTTAGCACCTTTTCGTATGCAGTTTCACCTTTACTCTTTAAATCTTTTGCCTTAAGCCGCCTTGAAATGAAGGGAAAGGAAAGGAAAGGAAGAGAGAACATTTATCAATGGCTACACCGCTCTTCAGCTCTCAACAAACAATTTTTTATTTTCTTCTTCTGTAAAAACTTTATAAATATAAACTAAAATACTCTCTCTCCCCGCTTTGCAATCACAAAAAGATTATTATAGTTCCTCCATGCCATGATTAATATCCCTGCCTTCGATCCCAAGGCTTTCGACAAAAGTCTGTGGAGAGAAATGATGCAGCCATGCCGTCTCTCTCTCTCTCTCTTTTTCTATATCTATATTTTTTTCTATCTCTATCTTATATCCACATGTTGGTGGTCTTTATATTTGTATTCGGGGTATATCAGTGGAATCAGAAGAGAGGTGTCCCTAAGAATGGATGATCTGTTTGGATATGTTCTTGTGGTCCAATAAATACGATTAATTCTTCAAATGTAATATAGAGAGGAATAATGCTCAATCCAAGGAAGGAAAGGGATGAAAATAAAGGTAGGGTCCATAGGATAATTTCACCCTTAATAACTCAATTGTGACAAGAAATTATTTGGTCATTAAGCCATTGTAAATCATTATAATCTTGTCTCTTTGTTGGTTAATATGATTAGCCCAAAAGAAAAAGAAAAATGAAAAAAAAATCATTCTTTACTTTGATTTTGGATAGATCATTTGTCTTTTTACTAGAAAAAGTCATTTTCACGATCAATGATGGCAATTTGGGTAGTTTTACCCGTTGCAAATTAATTACCCACAAAGTTTTGATTCTATCACTAACTATCAATGCCTTGGATTTCATGTAATGGAAATTTTATGTTGGTGATAAATTAGAGACAGGTTTGTAGTTGAAGGCACCTTTTTTTCATTTTAATTGAGTCGAGCTATGAAAATTAGTAGAACAAAACTACAACAGAAAGAAGGGATCGGAGGAGAAAAGAGCAGTGGTTGTGCTGAAGGACATGGTGGTAGCAATAGCAATAGCAATAGCTCCACGCGGTGGGGATACTAAAACAACGTTTTCTTTATTAGTTGAGAGAACATAAATACTATTCTAAAATTAATCGCAATAATTCATGTATATTGTTGCTTTTTTTTTTTTTTAAGTTTTAATATTAACCAAGAAATAAAAAAAATTAAATTGGAACCAGTATATAATTTTACACTAGTTTTTTATTTGCTTCATTAAAATTAAACTTGCAGAGTAAAACATCTACTAAGTTCGAATAATCATAAATATAACTTCTAATTTTGTATCAGCTAAATTGATTTACACATATTTGGAAAGTGTTTATAAACAGTTGAATTTATAAATAGATAGAAATAAATTTGTATAAATGAATAGTATTTGTGATTTCCACAAAATTTGTGAATAAAAAGGTTATTTGACCGTTTATAAGGATTAGCCGAACATAGGCAAATATTGAATTCCTTGTCAAGCTATGAACATTTATTTTGCTAATTAATGAATCATCACATTGTCTTCTTATGTTTCGTAATTATAATGAAAATTGTCAATATAATTGTTATCATTATTAGCTGCAAGAATAGAGTGGTTGTAGTACTACAACTATCAAATAAAGTCTGATGCTTTTATTATACAACTAGGTAACTTATATATCTTTTACTTTCACCAACTAGAAATGGCTTTTTAATTTTAAACTTATGTTTTTACTTATAAGTAAATTAACTTAAAAAAAGATACTCTAAATCCCTCATATATTTTATTTTTTTACTTTTTTTTTGCCTTCCTGTTCTTGTTTTATAGTCCAAGTGTGCAAAAAATCTAAATTCTGAAACATAAATGAAAAATTTATGAAAACAATGTAAAAAGCATATCATAGATGGACATAATAAATACAAGAAGAATAAACAAAAATACATGAAAACATAAAAGGGGACCAACGAAATAACCCACAATATATCCATATGATATAAAGACAACATATATAGATAGCCCATTGGATTACAACATGATGTCAATTTGACATTTTTATGACATCATCATTCTCTTAAGGTAAGGGGTGTGCATGTATCAAGATTTTGAAAACTTTCAACAACGATCATATCATTCATATCTAAAGTTTAATTTAAAATTTTCAAAATGGTCGAAAATATCTCCAATGGATAGGTGCAAAGAAAATAAAATATGTAATTTTAGGCATAAAATGTTTAAAAAAAAAATGTAAACTTTTTTACATCGATAAGAGACAAAAAAAAAAAAAAAAAAATTTAAATCCTTCTATTGAAGCAAAATTTGAATTTAAATTCACCGGGATATAAATGGGGATGCGAAAGTGATTTTCGAAATATACCCAATTTTTCACCACCATTGGATATGCTCTTATACCGTTAAATAGCAATGGTTCCCAAACTTTTAAATAGAAACGTTTAGTATTGGTATTTTTGGTAATGGTTGTTAAATTTTCAATCCAGATTTTTAAGATCTTACTATTCTATGATCTTAAAATTATAAAACAATTTATTCTTGTTACTCGATTCTAATGATCTTGTATAGTATTTGTCAATATGGACTTTTGAGCTTCATTTTTAGGTGACTTAAATAGGCTAGATTGTTTAGCAGTTGATAGGGTTTTAATCTACCATCCATGTCGGATCATCTTAGCCATGAAGGGATCTTTCGACCCCCTTTTCCACCCAAGCCTCTTGATCAGCCTCTTCCACAATGATCACAGTGTCATGGGGGACGATTGTGCCTGTTGTCGTCCCTAAAAAAAAAAAGGTTGTAATCTCTATATTGATCATCAATCTTGTAATAGCAACGACTCTAACATGTGTCCATTCTTGCTAGGATATGTGATACTAATGAAGCGAGACAAGCCTTGAGGGTTAATAGATATACGCAGCAAGTTGTAGACAGTTTAGAACTTTGACCCCCTTTAGGTCGATTTTCTTGGTCACGTTTCATAAAATTATGCAAGTATACGACTTCATAAGTAAGCAATAAAGAGTGAATAAAATATTACTCCCTTCGTCCCATTTTGTATAGGCTGATCTTATTGTTCATACGGATTAAGTATTATTATTTAGTCCCTGTTTGGCCCTCATTAATTTTCATTCCATTACATTTTATTTTTCTCTCTTCTATTTTCAACCACAAAATCTTCCATAAAATAATATTACACGTAAATCGAAAACTTTTTCTTCTTTTTCAACAACTCATTTTTAAAAAAAACACTATTCCGCTCATTTTCATTCCCACAAAATAGGAGCCAAACATGGGCTTAATGTTATTGATAAAATAATTTTTGCCAAAAACTTTACTAGTTTACCCTTATTTATAAGGCATTTCAGGAATTGGTTTGATTCTATCTCTTTTCCTTCCGTTTGAAGGAAGGAAGGATCCCAAAAAATCGATCTTTCTTTTAGTTGTTGAATCTCTCTTTGATTGATCAATATGATTTATACAATTTAAAGATTAAGTGGAGAAAATTTATTATAATTATGCAAATTAAATAAGAGAATATTAGTAAATAAGCAATAAATAGGACTATATAATTGGGACAAGAAAATAAGAAAATCTAGCCTATATAAATGTAAAGAATGGAGTATTTTAATATGATTGTGTATTCAATTAGATTCCAACTTTAACTAAAATAACACAATTTTATTTAGATTGATAATTTCAAATTAAATTATGAGGGTGTTTGAGAGTCATTTTTATGTAAAAATACATTTTAGAATAGTAACTTGATGAGAAGTATGTGGTTAAGAAATAAGAATTTTTTTTGATTTATGTGTAATATTATTTTAATAAAGAATGTGTGGTTGAAAAAAAGAGAGAGAAAAATGCAATTTGGAAAAAATGGGTATCAAACGGGGCCTATATAACTAATTAAATATCTAACTTCAATCCAAACTCTGAAGAATTTACAAAAACTCAATTAATTAAAATCACTAGTACCCCAAATCTTCTATATTGTTCCACTTATATATCAATTCAAGAAATAAAAATACTTGTTTAGACTTGAAGATAATGCTCCTATTTTGCTTAATAATCTCTTTCGAGCAATATTAAAATTACAATATTATAATGGAAAGCATAATGATATATATATCTATCTACTATTGAACTTTACAATGATTGTTACTGCGTGCTAAAATTTGTTCATTTATATATATATATATATATATATATATATATATATATATATACATTTGTTTGAATAATGATTTGTTTTTTGACATTTCGAACAGTTTTAGATTTTAATTGTTTGAAGATTTTCTCTTTGAATAATTTTTGCAATAATTCTTTTGAAATTCTCTTTTTGAAAATGATTTTTTCTTTCGAAAATTTTTCTTTTTCAATTTTGAAGAAGGGGGAAGAATTTTTTTCAAAACCATTTTGTTCACAGAATGATCCTAATTCTTTACGATTTTCAGACCAATCTGATTTCAATTTTGCTTTGAGTTTCATATCATTGCATAAATCTAAACCTGTTTTATTGATAACATCGATAATTTCACCATAAGTAAGATCTTGAAGATTTCTTTCTTCATAAAGAATTGAATTTCTAACTTTTTCAGCAAATAGCTTTAGAAGTCCAGAATTAAATTTTTCTTTCCAATAGAATTATTGACAGTCTTCTCGTAACATAATACAAGATAAAAACATGTCTTTATACCATCGAAATCTTAAAGTTTTGGACATCTTAAATTCATTAAGATCTCATTTTGAATTGTAATATATTTGTAGGGGTTTCAAGGAAATGTTTGATAATAGTACAAGCTAAAACATTGTAACTATCATTAATTTCTTGACCATTTATTCTTTGAAAATGTTTCCATTATCATCTGTTTTGACAGCATTGAGTATTGAATCTCTTTCATCTTGAGATAGATAATTGATCAGGTTGTCCAGTAAAACCAATAATGATATTATGGACAACATTATTTGCACTAATACTTTTGCCTATGTATGTTTTATAACACAATCATGGCTTCAATAAGATTGATTATTTGATATTTGGTTAAACCATCGAGATTCCACTCGTCACTGGTAAAACCATCATAAATCTTTTAAGTTTTTGGTTTTTCTTCAAAAAGAAAATCGGGATGAGTAGATTTTATATTGATATTATTTTGAACAGATAACTTTTTTAATTAAATAGAAAGTTCTTTGAGAACTTGAGCTTCTGTTTTCAATTTTGAAGTTTCTGCCTTTTGAAATTGAGATACTAAATTATTTGGATGAAAAATAGTAGCTTTTGAATTTGAAATTTTTTTTTATCATCACTATCTTTTAATTCTTTCTTAGAATTATTAGAAGTGACTTCTGATTCAGAATTTGTTTCAATTCTGTTGAGTTTAGAACACAAAGATTGAAGAGCAATGTTTGTATAATTATTTTGAGCTTGGATATTTTTAATAT